TATATATATATATATATATATATATATATATATAAAACACATACATAATTATCGATTTTATATGATTTATAAATTAAAAATTAAAACGACAGTACTAATGACAGTAAAACTTTTTAATATTTCACTACATTTTTTTTGTAGTGAATTTATTTATAAATTGTATACAAAAGTAATGCATAATATTTGTAATATTTAATAAGCTATAATTTATGATATACTGAAAGTAAATGCTAGCAGCATTTTATACATCATACTTTTTATTTCAGTTTATTTTGTTCTAAAGAAGAAAATGCGAATAGTATATGTATTGCAGCAAGCATCCTATTCAATTTTGTATAATAATATTTTTCAAAAGAGAAAATAAATTATTATTTTCTAGGAAATTATTTATTATAAAATTGCTCCCTATAATTATAAAACAAGCTTGAATTATTGGCTGAAATCATTTTATTTTGAAAAATTCGATGCAAACTGTAATAACATACTTATCCCATTGTCCCAGTGTTTGTTTCATAGAAGATGAAAAAAATTATTTAAGATTTGTTTAAAACAGCAGTTATTAAAACAACAGCGGCTCATCATGATTCTACGATTAATAAGAATATTTGCTTTGACGTACGAAATCTCATGCTATTACAATGAATAACAATTTTGTTATTTTGATTGTTCTGACAGTCCACTAAGAAACCCATGGCAAAACGGCGCAAATTCACAGGTATGCAAATTAAAGTATGAGATTCTGGAACCTTTCCTTCTTTTGAAGGGTTAATAGTAGACTGCTATTAGCAGTTTATGCCAGGTCTTACTATAATAGTTTATTTTAAAATATTAATTTACGTTGCACTACACATTATTTTTTGTAGTATTAAATGTTAAATTTTATTTTAATGGGCACTATTTTATTGTTTGCTTACAGTAGCATTTCTACGACTAAAGAATAACAGATATAATTATTCAACCATTGAATTATTTGTAATAATATATTAGACAGGATATTTTATTACATATTTATTATCTTTTTTGAAAATTAGAAATGTTAGTTATGCTTAATGTATGTTCAAAGCAACGTTTGTTATAAAAAATATATTGTTATTATAAAAAATAATATTCATAATTCAGATTTAAAAAAAAAAATCTTGAAATTTCTGACAATTCATTCAAAATAAAAATTAATACGTTATGTACATTTTTATTAAAATGTTAGCTAGATATCTCTGATTATATTAATATTTAATTATAAATAATATAAATAAAATCTTATCACACGACATACAATATTGTTTGTATTATATTTGTATATATTTCATTTGATAAATTCCCAATCTTCTTAAGGATATTTTTATTAATGATTTTTTATTATTAGCTTTTAAATTATGAGCTATCATAATGTGTGTGTCCTCTGAAATGTTGCACAGTGTTTAGATTTCATTAGCTTTATACTTTATTTGATCATTATAATGCATTTTGAATGTCTTGCATCTTGTCTGTCCCAATACGTTGTTAAGGAAAATCAATCTTATATATTTTTATTTTCAATTACATCAAATTTTACATATTATAGATCAGCAGTACTATTTGCAATATAAAATATAATCATTTATCCGTCAAATAATTTTACACTATATCAATAACATACAATATAGGAAACTAATTGATTTGTCTAATATCAATTATTCACTTCTAGAAAGCGCAATATTTTTTATATAGATATAGAAAAGTTGTACAAAGATGAACAAAAGTTTATAACATTGCCGGTGCGGAAAGGAACGATGCGAAGATGATGGGTATCAAAGACATGCATAGCTACATGTGGATCAATTTTTATGAACACAAACACTGGGGTAAAGGGCACACTATAAAGAAATTTTATGTTTGCTCTATCAATTTGATTATTTAATTTCTTATTGATATAAATTATAGTTTTCCGTCATTGTTATTTTTTATTTTCATAATTTGCATCGCTTTTGCTCTTATATCTTTAATTAACTTTTTTTACAGATGGTAAACACATTGTTGGACATAACATAGCATATTTTTTTTAGCAGCCACAATGTTTAGTAAGAAACATGCTTATATAATAAATTTTATTAATATTATTTTGCTACATATTAAGTTTATGCTGTTTGATTTAAATTTTACAATATTAAAATGTAAAAAGAGATAATAGAATCGTTATTTTGAAATTTTTACTTTTACTATTTTAAAAGTTCAAACAGCATGAATGTTATTTAAGCTTTTTAAGTTATTCATTTGTATATTTTTTTGCTTGCAGTAATATATATGTGTATTTGTGTAATCCTCACACGTGCAATTAATATTTTATTAGCTAACATAAAATATTTAATATTGCTTTTGTGTACGGTGATGGATTTTATTCAATATAATTTTAATATTGCGTGCTAATTTATTAGCATATGCTGCCAAAAAAGGTATGTGTAGTAATATACAAAATTAATATAAATAAGCACGCAAAAGATCAATTAAATATATATTTTTAACTGTTGTTTCCAGTAGATATACTTTCACCTATCTGTCCTTTTAATGCATAAAATGAAATTAATAACATTAATAATTAATCAGTTAAAAAAATAAATTTTGTATCTGCTGGAAGAAATATACAATTATTTTGAATTTATACCCATATAAATTTTTTAATTGTTAATTATAGGATAATGAAATAAATTTTTTAATGCATTTTCCAGGGTGGTTCAAGAAAAAAATAACTTCAAAGAACAAGCTGCGTTAACGCAGCACGACACCAGATAATTGATAAAGGAAATATATGAGAAATTACATATGCACTATATAAACGTCAATGGTAAACTTTGCTATTGAGAAGACTAATATAACAATGAAAATATTACGAATAATGTTTCTTACGAAAAGAATATATTATTTTATTATATGGAAAGAAATAATGAATTTTGTAGTTAGACATTAAGAAATAATGGACAGTTACGCAATTAATAGATATAAAAAAGCATAATTCAAGAGCTATTAAATTCATGGAAATTACAAGATAATAGTAATTATTGTTTAAATATTATTTCTATAGATAATACATAAAACATGCTCAGGTGTGTTTAAAGCTTTCATAGTTTATTTAAAATTTATTATTCATAAAATTATTCATACAGTAAAATGTACGCATGTTACGCTTAATGAAACGCACGAATTTTAATTTTGAATGGTAACGTAAATATTTTTACATAATTTTTTTTTTAATAGCGGAATTATTAAATAATTTTCATATTGTTAATGAATTTGTATACAAAGCTGAAATCGTTAATGAATTAATGTGCAATAAATATATTCGTGTAATCATATTTGTATAAAAGTATACATAGAGAATTCAATATATGGCTTTTTAAAGCAATTTCACGAACAAATAATTTCATAAAATATAAATTTTATGAATTAATTTTAGGGAATTTGTAAATCTGTTCAAAAATATATTTGAACACGTTAGAATATAATGAAATATACAAATTTATATTAATAAATCTGTGGTTCAAATAATTTGTAAGTACGAAATTTAAACAATAACATAAAGTAAACTGTATGTAAATGGGGCATTTAAAAGAGTGTTTGTTAAAGTTTTTATGTATTAGTTTATTTTACAAAACAATATAATTTTTATTATAATCTAACGTTACAAGATATAAAATAGGTGATAATACTCTATTTATGATATATTAAACATTTATTTCTTAAAGTATCATTGTTTCGTTTATTTACAAGATTGTATAAGATTTAATACGTAGTACTTATACATTAAATGTTTTACATTTAGAAAAGTAGATGATAAAAAGATTATTGTTTTATTTCACGTTATGCAATATACAAATTTCAATAATAATTTGTAATTCTAACGAATGATGTCATTTATTTACATTTTATAACAATCCCAAGTTTTAGTATAGGATATCTTTAATCAAATATTTGCAATAATGTTTAATTATTCAATAATTTTTTAATTCTCCTTAGGTGACATTATCAAAGGCGGTAATAGTATTTTTTTTTTAATGATACTTGATATACTATATTTATTATAATGCTATAAAAAATCTTAAAATCTGTTACGGGTCAATTAAGTAATTGTTTTTGTGTTTAATACACCTATTAATTATTGCATTATTATTTAATTCAGCATAGTTTGTAGAAATCCTAAAATATAACTACCTAAATCTTCATCTTGATTTGTCCACGAAACATACACACTTTTTTGATCATCTTCATCACCTTCTACTTTTACTAAAACAGATTCAACAGATATTGATCCGTCTGTTAATTGAACTGTCCAACCTGATAATCTCTCTTTTAATGGTTGTAATAATTTTAAAGTTGTTGAATGTGCTGGACCAGGGTCTCTTACTTGCACAGTGGACGTAAATCGTACTATATGTTTGGTTATACCTGCAGCTTTTGTCACCTTAAAATAAGTTTTTAATTATTTGTTATGTATAGCTTAATAAATACATAATTATATATAATTGGGAAATGAAGAAAATGCAATAATTACTTCATCTGCGTCTACAAGACACACTCCATCTTCTCGTAGCATTAAAACGCTGTGAAGTAATCTTCGTCGTTTAGGATCTGGTGGCAAAGCTGAATACCTTTTGGCTTCAGATTTTAATAATGCTAAGGAAGCGTCTACTGGCACTTTAGCAATGGTTGTGATAACACATGTTTCCCCATTTGCAGGGTTATAACAGTTGGTTCCAAATTCTTGTTTTATTTTTTCTTTTAAAAATTCCATTTTAGCAAATTCTCCATGTACAAGCATAACATTTTTTGGTTCACAATACTGTATTAATTGCATAATACCTTTTGCATCTGCATGTGCAGAAAAAGACATATATTCTACTGCCATTTTAACTTCGACAATCTGTCGGTTCTCAAATTCAATTCTTCTAGAACCATTTAAAACTTTATGTCCAACAGTACCCTGAACACAAAACCCAGGCATAATAACCATATTTGCTTCGTTTGGGGCCCATTTTTTAAAAATTTGTAAAGATAATCCTGCATGCAACATGCCTGGGGTAGCAAATACTACCATAGCTCCCGGATTATCAATATATGCTTTATCAAATGGTTTTATATGTTTAAAATCAAACATATTTCTTTGTACAAAAGTTTTTTTAATTTTTTGATTAGTCCAAGTAATAAACATTTTATAATAATTATTAGCTTTTTCAGTTAATCCTAAAGCAAAATATACAGGAACTTTTAAATTCATTCTCTCCCAGTATGTTTCTAATAATATACATAATTCTTGTGCACGTCCAAGAGCAAATACAGGAATTAATACCTTGCCACCTCTATCTATGCATTCATGAACCTAAAAAGTAACTTTATAAATCTCATATAAAATGTAATAAATATACAATGTCCATTATTTTTACATACTTTCTTTAAAAAGTCTCTTTCTCTACATCTTTTAGAATCTCTAATAGTTGTTGCATATGTTGACTCTGATATTAATAAATCTGGTCTACATTTATCTATCCATGCAGCACCTAAATGTCTATCAGGAGTCATATTGTAATCTCCAGTATATACAATTGATTGTGAACCAACTCTAATCCAGAACATTGCAGCACCAAGTACATGTCCTGCATAATATGCTTTTATTTCCAATTCTGAGTCAACCATTACAGATTGATGCAATGTAACAGCAATAACTTTTTTCATACAGTCTTTTATCATTTGTGAAGTGAAGAAGTTACTTTCTCCTTTACGTTCTACTGCAACTTTCCTCATATCTTCAAGTAAGATTGGTGCAATGGCTTTTGTTGGATGTGTCATATAAATTGGTCCAGTATAACCCACCTATAAATAAAATCATTTTTTAAAAAATACATTTCAATATGTAATTTTCATGACTTACCATTTCTGTAAAATATGGGAGAGCACCACAGTGATCTAAATGAAAGTGTGAAATAATTACACAATCAATGTAATTAGTTGCAGGACCTTCTGGGATTATATATGAAAAATCTGGGAATCTTCTTTCATCGTTGAAACCCATGTGCATGCCACAATCCAACATAATGTTCTTTCCACCCATTGATACAAGAATGCAGCTTCTTCCAACATCTTGACCAGCCCCCAAAGGGGTTACTTTGATATCTGGCATTTTTCTAAATAATGATTTTCAATTAAATAATCCATTCATTTTATTCACAGGATTATATTCATTATATTAAATAAAATTAATTTTATAAAAGAGAATGGAAAATACGTTTTTGAATTTTTAGTCACTGTAAACTTCTTATCATTACAATTGTTACTATTGTCCGTAGTTTAATTGATATACAATTTAAAAATATTTATTTGATATGTTATTAGAAATAGTCAATTCATAAATATTAATTAATGATCATTGCTGTTATTTTTTTATAATCAAGAATATATAGTACTTGTTGACCTGTGTTATTAACCTATACTTACTAACAATTTTTGATAAACATAACCTTTAAGCTGCATTCAAAATTGCGTTAATATAAAATTTTTAATTGATATGCGATATTCCTGAAATTATTATTGTAACTAATAATGTTTTATTTATTCAAACAATTACTATACTAAGAAATTTATAATATTTAATTAAAAATATAATCTTACTTGTATAACGTAGTGAATAGTATTTAAATCTAAGGCGAATTCAAACTGATTATAAAAATTACTTTTTATAATCAGTTTAATAAAATGAATGTACAAATATTATAAGTCTCAAATTTAGCAAATGATGTATTATCTTAAATTTCGTATTATCTTAAAAAACTCCAAACTATAATAAATTTCAACGGTTAACTTTTACAAGTGTAACTTTCCGACATTTATAGTTTTTTAAATCATAGCCATCTGGAAAGGTACGAAAGCAGACTCTTACACAGTTTCAATACTTTATTCATATAATTTCGTAGTTATGGCATTATTTCTATATATTTACATGTCCCCAATTTTCCCAAGAGAACTCGTAATGCGTGCCTGTGCGCGCACTACCATATCATCTGTGTGTACGTGTACATGTATGTGTATGTGTTATGTGTACTTGTGTCTGTTGTAAAACATATCGTCCACAATGTTCCATATTTTTTTTCTTTTTTTTTTTTTTTTAGTTGCATACATTTTGTCGTCATCTTCTTCATTCGTGTCCTATAAAACATAGAACGCTACGGCGAAAGAAAGAGAAACTGCGAATTGGTTGCGTGGATCGTCGTGTTATGTTTGTGGCGTCGAAGATCTGCGCATTTCTAAAGTCAGAGATTCTAACGAAAAACGGCACAGGAGGCTTCGCATTGACATGTAAAAAATCTAAATGCATTATTTACGCTACTGCTCGTATTTTATATATTTCGCTCGTATTCACATTTAGTTCCTGAAAACAAAATGGAGCTGGCCCGAGCCATATTGAGAGAACAACTGAGCTGAGTCGACGAATAATCGACTGGATCGTTTTTCCTCTCTTGTTGCAGCAGAACACATGTGTGCGAGAACATGTGTATCCACGCGCGCCACATCATACGAATGCATACGTGTATATACCCTTTCCTGTCCGAGGAGGATCGATTTCCGATACAAGAAGTATATACGCACTCGGATTCTATTATACATACACACATATAACAGTATACATGTATACGTGTAAAAATCGGGAGCTTCAGTTTATTAAAGAACAAAAACAATATTCCGCGACCGTTGTTGACCATTCAGTTTTGCGTTAACTCTGTTTTCTTCTATTATTGTTTCAATGTTTCTTCCTGTCTCTCCAACACAGGGCTGTGTTCTCTTCTCCAGTCTGTCCACGAACAGAGTGTTGTTTTGTCACTATCTATAGATTGAATCAGTTTAGTGCGCCCGAACGTATGATAACTGTACAATTGTAAAATATAATTCCATCTAGCTATAGCGATTCTAGTTACACTTGTGTGTGAGCTTATTTTCCTTTTCTCCCCTTTTTTTTTTTTTTTTAATTCTCTTCTTATTTTTGTCTGCATACTATCCAACGACTTTCGTTCCGCGATTATTAGCGTCACGTTAAATTTTCTGCGCACGGACTCGATCTTTCTTTTTCCCTCTTTCCTTCATCTCGCGCATACACACAAAACACGCACACGTTTCTGTTACACACACGTACAGGACATTCGTTCCACGTTTACTTCTCTTCCGTTTGTCTCGCATTCTTTTTTTCTCGTACGCTTTCCTCGCTGCTGCCGCACTACATATTTTAATAGTTAGGTTTCAAGTATGGCGTTATTCCGCGACACACTTAAGTTCGAAGTTGTTAATGCATTAAGTTAATTTAGAGTAACATTCTGCTCGATAAGATATTCTTATTAGAAGTTAATTAGTTTAGTATAAACGTTAATCGTCAGTACACCGAAGGATATGCAGATAGGGAGTTTGGAGGGCAGTGGTAACAATATGTTCGCGTTTTCTCGATGGGTGAACACGTGTTTCTAATTGATGGCGCGATATTCTCGTGGCACGCGACGCCACGACGAGATATAGCGAGAAGTCAGTTTCAATTTTTCATTTTCAAGAGAAGAAAGGGGCAAAATTACGTTCACACTACGGTACTTTCATATTGATGAACACGTAGTTATACATCGTCGAAGAATTATGATCGCAAGAAGTGACGTAGTCAACTAATCTGATAATCGAGCGCTCGATCCTGTGCAGAAGACACATGACTCTATGGTTTCTCTGGTCGTTCCGAAGACAAATGACTTATGCGTTTATTGTTAGAGAAAATTATCTTTGTACTTAATCTTTGTTTCAAATTCATCATTTGCTCGTATATGTGTTATAAAAGGGGTAGGTATATTTAATCGCACTTGCACGGCTTGAAATGGGCGTCATTTTATGAAAATTGCAATGTAATTGATGATACGTATACAATTGAAGTTGTTATACACAACAGAGATTTCCTTTATCCAAATTTACATTTTACGAATATCTTAATATCCAATTATTATATTGTTGCAATAAAATGTCTAAATTTTGTCTAAGTGATGATTTTGCAATTATAGCAAAATGATCTTTTCGGGTAATGCAACATTCGAATATTAAGATATTATTTGAAAAATAGTGATTGAGATAAAAGAGATTCTGCTGTGTTGCGTTTTACTTTTTGAACGAAGATGAAGGAATAATATAAGAAGAGAATTGAATTTAACGAAGTTGTAAAATGATTTCTTTTATTTTTTAACAAAGTTGTCGAAATAAAATTTTGGAAAGACAGCATTTGAATTTTTAAAGAAGAATCACAAGACGTTGGTAAATATTTCTGAATAATCATTAAAGTT